ATTGAAATGGCTGCTGTATATAGATAGGTGGTGGTGTGGGTGGGGACGACGGTACAATAAAAGTAGCGGGCAGTAGGGCTGTTATCGAATCGAATCGAACCAAGTTTAAGGTTTTTGAGCTCGAGTTCGACTAATTTTCGAACATATTCGTATTTGTTCGCTTAGTAAACGAACAAAAAATTCCGTTCGTGTTCGGTCGTTTATTGGTTCGAAACGTTCGTGTTCGTTCGTTTATCTAGTCGAACTTGTTCGTGAACTGTTCTAATTGTTCGAATTATTCGACAAGTTCGTGTTCGAATTGTTCGACATGTTCGTGTTCGTGTCTGTTAACTTTTTTTATTTATTTTAATGTCATATAAGTTATTTTATTTAATATTTAGTATATATTCATACTTATATATTATATTATATATGTATATACTTTATATAATATATAAAATTATAAAATACTTTTATTTTATTTAATATTTAATATATATTTATATTATATATTATATTATACATGTATATAATATATATATAATATATAAAATTATAAAATATTTTTTTTGTTTGCGAACGCTTGTTTAGTTTGCAAACATGTTCTTGTTCGTTCGATAACTAAATGAGCGTAATTTTATGTTCGTGCTCAGTTCGAATGCTTAAGAAACGAGCTGTTATCGAACACGAACGAACTCAAACGAGATTTGTTCGTGAACATTCGGTTCGAATAACAGCCCTAGCGGGCAGTATTCCGGAATGGTAAAACTTACAAAATCTGGGTTTTTGTTTTTGTTTTTATTTTTGTTTTTGTTTTTTGGTTTTCTTTTTTCCTATTTCTAAATTGTACATTTGTACTATGTGACTAGACATGTCGTATTTTGCTGGTCTTCAATCAACAATCAACGGGTTGTCTTTAGTGTTTTTTTTTTTTATTTATTTATTCATTTTTTAATTGTGCTTGGTATTAGTTCAACGATTAGTATGATATTAAGCATATCAAATTAAAAAAATATAGCCTATGAAAAATTAATGAAAAGTATAATGTTATATACCATAACTCAATATGTGATTTTGTTAAATAAATATGGGGAATCGATTGGTTTAACGATTAAGTCATCTGGTGCAATTATTTGTATTGTTATAATTGTGTACTTTTGACCTTCATAGCACATATTTAACTGACTAAACTCTCATTGTGAATATAATTAGACAATATTAATCAATCATTCTTATATATCACATTAATTTTATTTCACTATTCATATACTATTAGTGTCATACCATCTTATGTATAAGTTGCTACTCATTATTGTAAAGTCGTTATTTTAATATAGCATTATTAGTTTATTAATCCAAGAATTAAGGGACTTACAATTAGCCAACAGCTAGAGCCTAAAGCGAGCCCCTTTCCCCTCTTCCTTTCTATACCCTAAATCGTCGCTCATCCTTCGTTGTCTCTATGCTCTCCTCGCCTTCCCTGGCGAATAGCCGGCGCTCCTGCCGGCGGATGACCCTTGGTTGCACTCCCCCACCTCGATTTTGTGGTGTCTCCGCGCATTTCGCTCCATCGATGGCTAGAGGAGGCTTGGCGGACGGTCTTCGCCGATCTTTGGTTGCCGTTCGTGATGGGGTCTTGCGGCCTCTCCGGTGGTGTGGATGTGTTGGCTGGTGGTGCCTTATTAGAGTGGGGAGTGGTTCTGGCTGTTTACCGTCAGTGGTGGTGAGTCGTCCTAGGGTGAGGAGCGAGGCTCGATCTCCCCGTTTTCTCCGATCTTCTGGTGTGCAAGTCGGGGATACGGACACTTCCGGGCCTAGTCCAGTGGTGATGGCAGGGTCCTGGGTTGGGGTGTGTGGGGTGAGGTCTGGCCTCGGTTGTCCGGATGTGGGTCGGCTACTATCTCGTGGTGGATCGGGGATCGGGATTGAAGCTAGGCCTATTGGTAGTTTCGGGAGTGGGGGTCCTAGACCGTGGATCTTGTTGTGGGATGGTTGGCCCTTGTTCTCCTGGTGCTTTGTGCAGGGCTCCGACATTTCTGTTGGGGAAGGGCGTTATCTGTCGTTTGTCTGGTTTTTGTCGTTTGTTTTTGTTGTGTTTAGTGGTTTGTATGTTTGTATTTTGTTTCGCGTTTAGTTTGCAGTGTGTTGTGATCATTCTCCTGTTGGGAGCTTGTGAGTGCTTTTGTGTGTTAGTTTTGTATTTGTGGTCCGATTAGGCTGCCTTTCAAGTTGTCCTCCCAAGGATTACAGTCGTGTAGCTGCTCATTCTGGCTGTTACCGGTTGTTATCTGTGTGTAAATATGTGTTATATCTATGAAATTATGTCGTTTGAAAATAAAAATAATAAATAAAAGGGACTTGTAACACTTTGTACACATTATTGATTCTTCATTCTGAATACAACTCTTCCTCTTTCTTCTCTTTCGATATGTTTCTTTCAATACTCTGATATGATATCACTCGTCAGAATTTTTCGATTCTGATTTTCGCTTCCGCACTCAATTGTTCTTGATTGGATTTTAGTCTCCGAAACCAATTGATTTCATTTTTTTTTAGATCCAACTCTCAGATCTTCGTTTTATTTATTTATTTATTTTTGCTATTTTTCTTCTGACGAATAATCGATTCACACATCGATCAATCTTTGTTGATTTGTACTATTGATGGAGACTATGATCAATCCAACTGATGATCCATCGAGCCCATACTTTCTCCACGCACACGATAACCCAAGAGCCATAATCGTTGCTGAAATCTTCCATAGTGATAATTACGTTTTGTGGTCATGTGTGGTGTTCATGGCTCTTAGTGTCAAGAACAAGGGAGGATTTGTAGATGGTGCCATTCTTCCCCCTTCCCCAACTGGTAACTTTGTCCTTTATACATCATGGGTTAGGGCGAACCAATTTGGTACTATCCTGGTTGTTAAACTCTGTTTATAAGAAATTCGACAATCTCTGCTATTCTTTAACTCTACAAATGATCTTAATTTGGGATGAAATTAAAATTCGGTATGCTATGAGCAGTGGCCCTAGGGTTTTTCATTTGGAAAATTCACTCAGTACTATAGATCAGGGTTCCATGTCCATAACTCAGTATTATAATGCTTTTAAGGGCCTTTAGGATGAATATATTATTTATAGGCCAATTTTTCAATGTACTTGTGGTGCTCTTAATTCCTGTGATTGTGCTCTTGTTGAGTCCATGGTTGCTTCTCAGCCTCAGGACTTTGTTATGAAATTTCTTATCAGGTTACATGAATCTTAATCTTCCCCCAGAAGCTACTTTCTCTTATCAACACCTTTAACAACACTATCAAAAGTATACTCACTCTTACTTAAAGAAGAATCTCAAAGAACACTCCACAACACTACACCATATATTGATTCCATGGCCATGCTTGCCAAATCCTTTTCTAGCAACCAAAAACTTCCATATTCCAAACACAAAAAGAGGTCAAAATGCGCTCGCAGTGGTTACCCTTACCCTGCAGAAAGATTTTATCAAGTCATTAGTTACCCTCCTAACTGTAATGGCCCAAGGGGTCTCAGAATTCACCCTCAACACTCAGCTAATGCCACCCATACTTCTCCTGTTATTACTTATGATTCTAATGATGTATCTTCCTTGACTAATGAGTTGTTTACTGAGTTTTTATCCTTTAAAAAGTCTCAAGAGGCTAAACATGACACAAGAAGTACACCCTCACCTGTAGTTACTGTTGTTTTCCCTGAGGTGTCAGGTACTTCTATTCCTTATTCTTTCATGGTTTCTAAAAATTTGACCAAGTCTACAAAGATTTTGGATACTGGTGCCACAAACCATATGGTCTGTGATAATCTTACTTCAAACATTGATTACATGTCCATAATGTTCATATTAATCTGCCTAATGGTCATAAAACTTAAGCATGCTCCATTGGTCACATTCAATTATCTCCATCATTATCACTACATAATGCTCTGTTTGTGGCTAGTTTCCAGGTCAATTTCATATCTGTATCCAAACTAGCATCCACAAACAATTGTATAGTCAAATTTTTTTCATCATATTGTATTTTGCAGGACTTGACAACTCTCAAACTGATTGATTTTGCTGAATTGAAATATGGACTTTATCATCTGACTATGTTGAATCTTTTGATACATCATCCACGTTAGCTACTTCTTGAAACTCTATGTCTGATAATACTAATTGTCTTCTCAATATACTTTACATTTACCTGTAAATCATGCTTCACTGAATAATTTATCTGCAAATAATACCTCTCCAAACAGTGTTATATGGCATAACAGAATGGGCCACTTATCTAACTCTAATTTGCAACAATTGCCTTTTTGCAACCCGAACTGCAAATTGTTAAACACTTTGCCTTGTCATATCTGTCATTTTGCTAGACAAAAGTCCTTTAATATCAGTCAATCTATATTTGTTTCATCCTTTGACTTGATACATTGTGATGTGTGGGGACCTTTTTCTGTGCACTCTCATGAAGGCTTTAGTTATTTCTTCACCATAGTTGATGATTTTAGTATAACAACATGGATATATCCTATTAAGAATAAATCAGATACTAGAACTAGCTTGATTTACTTTTATAACTTAACTCTTACTCAATTTAACAAGAAAATCAAGACTATAAGAACTGATAATGGCACAGAATTTTTGCTACATGACTTTTACAGTTCTAATAGCATAATTCATTAGAATAATTATATTGAAACTCCCAACAAAATGGTAGGGTAGAAAAGAAACATCAACACTTGTTGCAAGTAACTAGAGCTATTTTTTTTCATGCACAATTACCTTTGACTTTTTGGATAGATTGCATACTTGTTGCAGCTCATATCATCAACGGAGTCCCTTCTATTATTCTTAAAACCAAGTCTCCTTTTGAAATACTTTATGGAAAACGGCCTACATATGATCATTTAAGAGTTCTAGGTTGTCTTTGCTATGCATCCACACTTCATGTTAATAGGAATAAGTTTGAATCTAGATCATCAAAGTGCATTTTTCTTGGTTATCCAATGGGTTATAAAGGTTATAAACTTTACAACCTAGATACCAAGAAAACATTGATTTCTGTGAATGTGCAATATTATGGGACCATTTTTCCGTTTCAGTCTTCTTCGATTTCAGACATTTCACACTATTTCCTCAACCATAATTATTTCTTTTTGACAATACACTAATCACACATACAAATACTATGCCTCAAAGCTCTAATACAAATATATAATACCCCTCTATTTCAGAAACCACACATAATGAACCATCTCCTGATTCAGAAAATACATCATTACAAGGTGCCTCACATATACAACAGCCTTCCCAAGTTGTCAGGAGATCCGATAGAATAATTAAACAGCCTGCTTATCTTGACATTTATCAACATTCTTTACCTTCTTCAAGGGCTAATTTAAGTGAGTTCCCATTTTACTTGCACTCATGGAACATCCAAATATCCTATATGTTCTTATCTACTGATTCTTTGAGTGAGAATCATACTTGTTCCACTGCATCTGTTTCAATGCTAACTGAATCTAAATCTTATTCCGAGGCTGCAAAGGATCCCCTGTGGCAAGAAGCCATGAAAAAGGAGTTAAATGATTTTGAACAAACCAATGGTAAACACTGCACATGTTGTAAGTGGGTCTTTAATATTAAATATAAGTTTGATGGAAGTGTAGAAAGGTATAAAGCAAGACTAGTTGCAAAAGGATATACACAAGACGAAGGAATTGACTACTTTGAAACCTTTTCATCTGTGGCAAAGATAACAACTGTGAGATTCCTTGTTTCTTTAGCTTCAATTAAAAACTGGTTCATTTATCAACTTGATGTGAATAATGTTTTTTTACATGGTGAATTGGATGAAGATGTGTACCTGAAACCACCTTCTGGTTATTATAAACCTAATGATAGTAGAGTTTGTAATTTGATAAAGAGTTTATATGGTTTAAAGCAAGCATCTAGGCAATGGTTTCATAAGTTGACTGAATGTTTACTTGCTTATAGGTTTATATAGTCTGATGCCGATAGTTCATGAGTGCTCCTCTATTCTAAAGATCAAGCATCTAGGCAATGGTTTCATAAGTTGACTGAAAAGGCTTAGAAGAAGAAGAAGAAGAAGAAGAAGAAGCAGCAGCAAGAGAAATGTTTTTAACAGGGGCATTGGGATTAGAGAGAAGCCAGTTAGGAGAGATCAAAAACTTAGTTAGTTTAACCTCAATGAAATCACTTATTGTTCTTTGATTGGCCCAGGTGAAGGGGTGGCCAACAAAATTTAGTTTTTACTCCTCCAAGGCTCCTAACAAGCTCTCTAAAGTTTTTAAAGCTTGTCTCATCTCTCCATGTACCTCACTTTTTTTACTGTTGTCGAGAATGTCATTGAAGAAAAATGCTACGAGTACATAATAAATGTATATAGAGGTGCACATAACACTCACATGGAGTGGGGTCCACTTGATTTTTTATTTTTGGTAGAACCTACTTAATGTGAGTATTATGTACACCTCTATGTATAATATTATATACCTATAGCATTTCTCGTCATGGAAATCACCACCAAGGAACCAATTTCTACACCATGCTAGACTATGCCTTAACAAAAAGCCCCATTGAGAGGGTTAAGTCGACGCTACCCTTACGGGTACAGCCCACTTTCACTGTTAACCAACCAAACGCCGCCACGTGGATCTCACTGACTTTTGCCTTCTTTTTCCTTTTGCTCTGTATTTTCCTTTTAAAATTGTTTCAGCTTTTGTTAAATAGACCCACAACTAACCATGGTCGAATTAGAAAACACAGATCTAAAAATAACAGATCTACTCAAAAATTGTACTCCAAAATTTAAACCACAGATCTGAAAAATTCCAGGCCCCAAAAACTCCAAAATCACCGACTTAAAAAACTCCAAACCCCAAAAACTCCGACTTCAAATCGCCGGACGTCAAGAAGTTGCAGCATCCACTCATCCCCGACTTCAAGAAAATTGTGAGTTGTTGCTTTGGGTTCGTCACTCTTTGTTGCAAGAAAATTCCAAGTTGTTGTGATGTCATTTCCTCTGTTTCACTGTGGTGAAGTGTTATGTTTTTGCTATTTTTATGGAGTTAATTTTGTATTTTTCTGGAATATTGAGAAGTTGGGTGAAGGAAACAATGAAGAAGAATGAAAATTAAAAGATAATAAAAGATACCTTGGGCTCACCATACATCTGTTTTGAGGAAGTTTTCTTGTAAATTGTTGGAATTAGTTGAAAGGAGGTAGAAGCATATTAGTTGAGAATATTGTGATTGATGTAAATTTTGATTTTTCCGGTGTTAGCTTACTGGTTTTCCGATGTTTATTTTGTGTTATTACTTTAAATTTTAACTAGCTTCCTCTTATATGGATGATGGTGCTAGCTTAGTAAATTTGGTCTAATAAACGATTGATTATTGTCTATTGATATAAAAGCTTTCTGTTAGGTAATCAGGTTGATTATTGTGTAATGATATAAAAGCTTTCTATTCGGTAATTAATAGAGGATGCTTTCAATTTGAGGTTTATGCTAATGCTACCCACTGCATGTGTAATTTGTTTGATTAGTTTCATTTATTATTTTTGAAACAATATTTGAAATCTCTGCACATGAGCTTGCTTATGAATTTGGGTCTGGGTTTGAGTGGTTGCTTGAATAATGACATTTTATTTTATTTTAAAATTTTTTTGAAGGTTTGAAAATGTCACAGACTTCAACCGCTAAGAAATTTAGAGGACCAGGACCAAGTAGATTGAAGTATGAAGAAAAAATATGTCATCAATGTGGAATCAAATCTGAAGTTAGGATTGTTGGTTCCCGAACTGCAAATTTTCAGAAACTATATTATTTTTGTGATAGACATGCATTTATTGGTTGGGCTAATCCAATAAATGACGACGAAGTAAGCATCAGAGAAGAAGTTTGCACAAGCGAGAAATCTATAGTGGATCGTGAAAGCTACAAAGATGTGAAAATAAAAAAAAAACTTGATAAGATTTTTCATTTATTACTTGTATTGTTTGTAGTTGTAATTGTAATGCTTGTTATTATTGTAATGAAATAAACGGTTGGGTATTTTTAATTACTGGACATGAATAATTAATTCTCTGGAGTATTGAAGAATGAAATTATGATTTCATTGTCTGTGTGAGGTTTATTTGGCACATATAGATTGTCGTCAAGGGTTTTGGTTTGTGCAATTTAAGTACAAAATTGTTGCTAATATTACTGTTAGTACAATTCTCAATTGTTAGGTCCCATTCACATCTCTAGTAATTACAATTCTCAATTAAGATTAATATTCACATGCATGCATTCACATCAAGTTGAAACCTATAAAAAGAGCACAACTTAATCTACCTATAAAAAGAGCACAACTTAATCTAATCATATTCATTCAACCTTGAAAAGAAAGCTGAAACCAGAAACAAAAAGTTCCATTATTACAATCAAGTTCAAAAAACAATCCACAAAATAAATGTCTCTAATAACAATATTACACCACTATAAAGAGTCAATCTAGAAAAAATGAGAATGGGCATTTGCTAACTTCAAATCACAATTATCTTCAATTATTGGATGGTCCCTGTATAAAAAAAATAGATTAAAATAAGAATAATAAATTATTAAATATTAATTTACAAAGCATTAGATTTGATGTACCTGTGATGAAAAGGGATCAAATGGATAACCAAATAGATTGAATGGACCACCTAAATTGATGTTTGTATTTCCTCCCTACACATTTTATAAATAAAAAAAGTATTAACATTCTTGTAGAAAAAATCATAAATGCATCATTTGATTTATGCTAGGCCGATAATGTGGAACATTATTTGCCTCTTCCGTGTTGACATCATTTTGAGAAGATTGAGCTGGACCACCTAAATTGATATTTGTAGTTCCTCCCTACACATTAAAGTAAAATAAATAAATAGTATTCATTTTATTAACATTCTGGTAGAAAAAAATCATTAAAGCATCATTTACCCATTGATTTATGTTAGGCCAAAGCATTGAAGAGTGAGATGGATAATGCGGAACATTATTTGCCTCTTCCGTGTTGACATCATGTGGAGAAGATTGAGTCAGGCCACCTAAATTGATGATTGTATTTCCTCCCTACACATTAAAATAAATAAATAAAAAAGTATTAATTTAATACTTTAATTTTATTAACATTTTTGTAGAAAAATAAAAATCATAAAATCATCATTACCTTTTGAGTCTTCTTTCTTGACTTGCTTGAATTTCCCACCTTTTCTTTGCCCCTTTTTGTTTTCTTGCTCTTGTCGTCCCAATGACGTATTATTTGAGCATTTGTAACTCCCCTTGTCTTGGCCGGAGGTGGATTGCGAACACGTACATTACCTTCATCAACCAATTCATCACATGAATCATCCATGTCCAAATTCTTCAAAAGACAACTTATTTCTTCATTTGCATCTTCGATGATTTCATTGAACCTACTTCTTGTCTCCTTGTGAGATTTGCTCAAATGCACCAAATCATACGAATTCCTCATTGCATGATTCACAAATGTCAATTGAGAACCACTACTAGTTCCATGAGGAGTATATGTTCTTTCAAATTCAGTACAAAACCTTTGTTCGGCTTTTCTTGACCACCGACTCATTATATATGGCTCAGGCAACAAAATGATATTCATAGAAATGAAAACTTTTAGTGCATGTCTACATAGTATTCCCATTGTTTCGAAGTAATGACATGAGCACTTTACTTCAATATCATACTTCTTAAAGAACACTTGCCTAACCTTTGAGTTGTCGTTATGTGACCGCATATTGAATCCAACCCAACCATTGCCGAAATCATTCTGATCAATAAGAACAACATTCAAAGACTCCACAAATTCCCGCTCGAACAACTTATAGATGGAGAAAGTATATACTTCGGCCGCATGCGACAACAAGGGATTATTTTTAACAATTTGGCCCGGCCTCCCATGGCTACAATGAGCATCATCATCTTTCTCAACCGACCTCCATTTATCTTGAACTTTTTCATAGTTCAAAACAAATTGATGCAAAGTAAGAGCCTTGTTGCCCAGGTCTTTCAAAACCCGATTTGTAACCTCACTTCTTGAAGTGGCTACAAGACCTGCACAAAATTTGTCATTACTAAACACCGTAGCCCATCGCTTTCTCAGTTTATACATCCCTTTTAACCATCTATGACCACCAAGATTGTACTGATCAATCATTAGCTTCCATGTAGCCTCAAACTCATCTTCAGAATCACAATATGTCATGCATTTATGCCACAATTGTTTAAACTCCGATTCACCATTCAAACCTCCTAAATGAGATGGAGCATTTTGGTTGATATGCCACTGACATAAGCGATGATGCGAATGAGTGAACACTTTATCAATAGCATTCATCATTGCTTGACATTGATCAGAAAATACAACTTGAGGTTGTTTTCCATTCATAGAAGCAAGAAAAGTAGAAAACAACCACTCAAAGGAACTCTCCGTCTCATCAGACAAAAATGCAAGACCAAACATCACATTTTTTTTATGGTGATTTATACCAACAAATGGAGCACAAATCAAATTGTACTTATTTGTTTTGTAAGTTGTATCAACTGATAGCACATCACCAAAATAATCATAATCAACTGCACATCTATGATCTCTGAAGAAAAAGTTCATGATCCGATTATCATCATCCAATTGAACATTCCAAAAGAATTGGTTTTCCCCATTAGCCTTGTTTATAAAATATTGAAGCAAAGAAGCAGCATCTCCATCTTCAACTTTTGTATGTCTTTTAAGACGATTAAAGTGATCATATGCATCTTTTCTAGTAAAACCCAAGTTTTGAGCACCATGAGCCTCATTTTCCATAAAAGAAACAGCATTAGTAACACTAATTCCCGCATTGACCATAGCTTCTAGAGTTGATTTTTTAGCATGTGTGAGATTGCGTGATGATCTTAACAAATGAGTTTGATCAGGCTGAACCATATCATGATTGTGTTCCACATAAAACCTGCTCACTCTCCATTCCCCACCTCTCTCCCTCGCAACTCTAAGTCTCGCTTTACATTTTGTTCTAGTTATTGATTTCAGATAATCCGGAATAATATTCCTAGAACGTTTTTCATCTTTAACTCCTTCACAAGAACATTCAAATTCTTTCATTTGCAGCTCTTTAGTGCCCGAAAAGTATCGTTGATCACCTTTTTTAACACTAAAACCTTTGGCATGCGCATATTGACAGTAAAGTAAATATGTTTCTTCAATGTTATTTATTTTCATGCCATCTGATAGTCTATTTTCTAAATGCTCTACAACTGTTTCAAAAGACTGAACCTCAGGATTTGGTGTTGAAGAACACCCAAAATCTTGTTCTTGAAACTCTTCACCATTACCCTCGATGTCTTCACATTGCTCCGCAAAATAATGCTCCATTAGTTCAGTAATACCTACATACATTCAACAAATATATTAAGTTCTCACACTCAGTTCAATATCTCACCAAAAAATAAACATACTGTTTCAATGTTATTGTACCTTCATTATAATCACATCCTGTGGTTATAATCACACTCAGTTTAATAAAAACGCTTGCTTAAGACAAATATCCAAATACTACCCGTCGGACATATTCTAATGTAACTAAAAAAAAAAGTGCACAATTTAGATACCCGCTAGTGAAAGAATTTCTAAGAAATGAAGTTCATTCGGTGTTCCAAATATTAACTTGTGAATAAAATTTTAGAAATTGTATTTTTACCTTTGTGAATAAAAAGTGCAGAACAAAAAATATACCCGGCCAAAAAAAAAATAAAAAAAAATTGAAAAACATACGTGTAAAGCCCAATGACACCCCAGAGAAAAATGCAAGGAAGAAGAAGCACAATAACTACAGTCACTGCAATTTTAATCAAAGAGACAGAAAGCTGAATAAAAATTTCATAATTTACAAGACAATATTCTACGAACATTGATAAAATGATTAAAAAAGATACCTTGTTAACAGCTGAGTAGAACTGCAATTTTTGGAGAAGACAGGACGATTTTCAACCGATTAAAAATGGTCTTGAGAAGTACTGCAATTTTTTGGAGAAGAAGTGCAATTTGTTTGGGACGATTTTTGTTCGCTGAAAAATGGTCTTCTCCCAAATTCAAATTTTAGATCTTGATGTGTACAGCCTGTTTTAATTAATTATTATATTTAACTCAAAGGTAACCATGGTAGATAAAGCAACATTAAAAACAAAAATATAAAATAGATTCAGCCAACAAAAATCTGAAAAGAAGAGAGAAATGGCAAAACTCAGTGCATTCCACATGGCTTATTCTGATTGGCTAACAGTAAAAGTGGGCTGTACCCATATGGGTAGCGTCGAATAAACCCATTGAGAGTTTCTTTCATTCTCGTCAAAGCTTGAATAGAGAAAAACAGCCCATTTGGGGTTTTCATCATTAGCTTCTCTTTCATTCTGGTCAAAGCTTGAATAGAGAAAAACAGCCCATTTGGGGTTTTCATCATTAGCTAGCTTAAACTTGACTTCAATACAGAAGTCATGATTTCAACCTGCAAAGACCAACACAGAAACAAACCCCTCTAGTACCCAAAGTTTGACATAGGTCCACCTGGTATCTAACTTTAACTTTTTACATACAGAAATCACAATTTTTT